TGGCTTATGCACAGGACAGCTGGTGTGAGAACAACCAACAGCTCTGGCACGTCTTAATGGGGACGAGGACATTGCTGCTGAGCATCCCTCACCTGTAGCTCCCCACACACATTCAGGCACTGCCCAAATGCCAGCAAGGGCCTCCTCCTCCCTGCTTGAGAGGTGTTTCTCCCGTGGGGCAGGGGAGCTGCCCGGTGTGGGCAGAACGTGCCTGCAGACACAGCCGTGTCTGCCTGCAGTGGAGGAGCACGGGACCTCGCTGGAACAATCAAGAACCATCCTGAGTCTATGGATGGCTGCTGCACAAATCCCTGCTCTGAGCAAGGCACTATGGTCTGTGCACTTTATTTCACTCATGACTCATCCAGATGAGCCACATTTTTAACACCAGGCATTCCAACTACTCTATTTTTACTGGGAAAATACTGACCCTTGAAGTGGGCGAGTCCAAAATCCTGGGTCTTGGCATCCCTGCCTGTTGGGGTGTTCAAACCCTGGCTCTCAGTCAGCCAATGCAAACCAGTTCTGTCCTCTAAGACAGCTTGAATCCAGCTGGCACAAAGACAGTGGGTAAACAAGATTTCTCAGAAGATTTTTCTACCAGCAGAAGAAAAATCTTCCTGCTCTGTGCACAAAGCACAGCTATGCCCAACAGAAGGACAGGCAGCATCTGCGTGTGTGCTGGGGCTGAGCTTGCCGTCATCTGATGTGCTTCACAGAAAGGTTCAGCTCCGATTCAAATTCTACTGTTACCCATTTACAGCGTGCCACCCCCCAGCCCATCTCACAGCCTGACACATACAGCTATGCTGTCCCTTCGGCACAGACCTCCCCGGGGAAGCGGTTTACTTCGGGGAGCTCCCTCCCGCTGGCAGAGCCGATGGCACTGGCAGCCCGACGGCTTGCAGACCTTGTGGGCACCCAAAGGGGCCCTGGTGCCCGTACCCAGCGTCGAAGGCAGCTGGCTGCTGGCTGCCGGGGTGCTGGGCTGCTCTGTATTCCTCCTACTTCAAACAATTCATTTATATCTACCGGGTAGACGGGCCTCTGCCTTGCTCCACTAAGTGGGCTTTTTATCTGATGTTGTTTTCAAGCCCGAGTTCCCTTGCAGTGAGTCACCCAGGCAGCCCCGTATGGTCATGTACACACCGCCTGGTTGCTACAACACATGTAAACACTTCCCCTGTCGTATAAAAGGCCAATGAGACACAAAGCTGAGCTGCCTTCCCAGCCTAGCAGAGCTCTTCAAGTACTCCAGAATCACCAGCAAACCTGGGG